AGCAACAGTTTGGACAGGACCCTTTTCTATTCTAACATGACAATGCCTCTATGTATATGGCAAGGTTCAAAAAGAAATGACTGACTATGTCATTGTCCTGTGGGAAAGTGAACCTTCTGCCCAGTCTGAGGTTCTGAATGCTCTGGACTAGGCTTTCATTAAGGCTATATCAATATTTTGGTGCATTGAGTTTTTCTTCTACTCTGATGAGTCCTTCAGTCCCTAACGCTGAAAAACAGCCCCACAGCAAGAGGCTGCTACCAGCACACTTTACTTTTGGGATGGTACTCTGCAGGTGGTGAGCAGAGCTGGCTTGGAATTGAGGTTCATCAGACCAGAGAGTCTTGTTTCTCAGAGTCTGAGGGTCTGAGAGTTTGGCCACACCGCCATAAAGCCCAGATCAGTGGAGTGTTGCAGTGATGTTTGTCCTTCTGTAGATTTCTCCTATCTCAGCATATGGTCATGGAGCTCAACTAGAGTGACCATCGGGTTCTTGGTCACCACACCAACCAAAGCCCTTCTCTATCAACTGCTCAGTTTGGCCAGGAGGCCAGCTCTAGGAAGAGTCCTAGTTGTTCCAAACTACTTCCGTTAAGGGTAACAGAGACTATATGCTTCTGTGACCTTCGATGCAGCAGAATTTTTTCTGAGCACTTCCCCAGATGTGTGGCTTGACTCAAACCTGTTTCTGAGCTCTACAGGCAGTTTTTTTTTTTACCTCAGGACTTGGTTTTTTGCTCTGATATGCATTATCAGCTGTTAGACCTTTTATTAAGACGTGTGCTTTATTAACAAAAATCATAATCTCATTCAAAATATTTGCAGGATCAGATGATGAACTTCCTCATTTTGCAATTTCTCTCATGTCAGCAGAAACATTCAGCTCACTAACAAATCCTGGGTTTTTGGCTTTAAACCTGAGCTTCTGTCTTTCTGCAAAGCAAACTGTTCTTTATTTTCAAGGCTACAGGATACTGTCCTGTCCTGTCTAAAACATGAGTCAATCAAACATATTCATTTTGATGGTTGTCATTCCTCTAATTTTCTCACAGGTAAAACTGAACTGTCCATTATTTTTATTTAACATTATTACTGACAGTATTTTTCAATATTCTTTTATATATTACAATTTTTAAGGTGTAATTTTGCTTGCATGTTGGATTTACTGTTATTTTGTGTTCACAGTCAGCGAGAGGAAAGGACTGCGTGTGTGAGCTACAAAATTCTGATCCTGCTTTCCCTGAGAATAAACTCAATAATTTTGAGTTCACAGCAACACAATGCACTGAGAACATCACTTCAGAAAAGGTAGAAACATGGCAAAATATACTATTGTGATGTTTAGGGTTGCAAATCAGGGATGTATGATTAAAAATTTTTTAGAATTTGCTGAATAATTCTTTACAAATGTATTACTGATGCTAAATTTCTTATTCAATTGTTACCTGTGTAATCAGATGACAGAGATTGACAAGCTGGTGTTGGGTCTACAACACCGTATCCGACAACTTCTGGACAATGTATTCATGCTGGAAAAAGAAGACAATGGAAATCTGTATGCAGCCGTGTCTCTACGCATTATTGAATTAGAGTTAGCCGAGATTCAAGACCTTCTGGACAAACTCAACAGAACCACTAACAATTACCAGCAGCTGAGTGTAAAGGCTGCTACGGAGGTAAATTTATATTTATATCTATTATATTATATATTATATTTAATTAAAATAGGAAATTAGTTTGTGACGCAGTATGTTATGCTAAGAGTAAAATAATTCCTCACCAACACTCAGTCACATACATTTGCATTCATAAGAAGATTCATTGTTTCATAGTCACTTTAGGTGTTGTAGAAAATGATAATGCTATTAAATTGATAATGTATTAAACAAATATTTCCTTGAATATTTATAAGATTTTAATTCATGCTTTTTTTATTCTTTTCTGCAATGTTTCATGATATGATAATGCTTGAAATGCATTACATTAAAGAAAATATTTAATAAAAAAAAATAAATATAAAACTTTAAGTTAAATTAATATTTAATTAAATGTAATACAATTTAAATGAAATTGAAATATATATATATTTCTACGCTTAAATATTTATTTTTTAATAATACAACTCATTTCAATTAATGGTATTTATTTCTGCAGTGCTTTGTGATATTTATAAATATATCACATCAAGAAAACTATTAATATTCATATTAATTATAATTAGTAGATTTTTCTTCTTAAACAGAGATTTTTACATGCATTATGTGCACTTTGCTAATTCTTTGGTAAACCTTCATTCTACAGCTTCAGGATATGGAGGAAACAATGACAGAGCTGGAGAACTTTGACCACACGCAGGTGATGGTGAAACAGCGTGAGAACCAGCGTATTAAGAGGGATCTGAAACGGTGCAAAGAAGAGTTCAACAGTACATCACCAGCCCCTACACTTTCCCCAGGTACGCATAAACTAGTTTATTATAATTACGTGACCACAGCTAAAACGTTAAAGTATTAGACTTGCATTTTTGCTTCTGTCTTTTTAGGTCACTGTGGTCTGAGCCGCATGGTCAATGTATCGGGACCAAAAACGTATTCCCTCACAGTGTATGGAACGTCCTACCCTTATGGTGCTTGGGGTCGAGATGCAAATCCTGCTCCAGGAGACGAGAACAAGTACTGGCTGGTGGTGCTGTCAAGTAGTAATGCATACGGCAACTTTATCCGCCAGTACAATAGTTTGAGTACTACTATATTAGGTATAGGACCAAAAGATACATACATATCAAGCTCCAATCCCACAACAAACACAATTCAGGGGTCAAACATGGTCATGTATGCCAGTGCTTTCTACTATAACTGTTACAACACATATTACGTCTGTCAGTTCAACTTGACGACTCGTGCTGTCAGTACTGTGGCTTTGCCTAGTGATACAGGTTACAACAGTAAGTTTCCATTTGGACACCTCGGCACAACATACAGCTATACTGATATGGATTTTGTCACAGATGAATCTGGTGTCTATGTTATATATGCAACCACAAGCAACTTCGGAAATGTGATTATCACTAAAGTCGAGACTAGTAACCCACCAGTTTTGAACCAAACATGGTCCACTTCTCTTCACAAAAAGACTGTGACAAACACCTTCATGGTGTGCGGTGTGCTTTATGCTACTCGTTACCTGGACAAAGAAATAGAAGAGATTTTTTACTCTTATGACACCAAGACCAACGAAGAGCGATATGATTTGAGAATTCACATTAAGAAGATGCAAACTAATATTAAGTATATGAATTATAACCCCAGAGATCATTTGCTGTACGTCTACAGTGATGCCTACATTGTGACATATGAAATCATGTTTTAGCAAGTTGATTAATGTCTTTTATTCACCAATAATTTTACATATTTGATGATTTTAAATGGAAAAGCATTGACTTATCATACATTTTGTCCCAATAAGGTGGAATCCATTTAATAATTGGAATTAAAATTTACACTCAATAAGTTATTATTGCATACTGTTTTATAATGTATTACAATGCTGAGGTGCAGATAATTGCCACTATTGGCAATAAGTAATTAGCAGAATATCCTGCTATTTTAATATAGTATAAATAGCTATTTGCACTTAGTGTAAATAGCATATCACAAAACAAATACTGCTATTTTCACTTAGTGTAAATAGCATCTATCGCTAAGAAAATATGCTACCAACCCCCCCTCCACCGCCTTGTGTCCCCTTCGAAAATTGCTCTTGAGAAATTTTATGTTTATTGTCCCCCACTACTGTTAGACGAAATGTACGCCCCTGCCTGTAATAGTGGATAAATGACGCTGAGGGAATTTTTATAAGCAGACGAGTACAAACTAGCTTTCCAGTATTCAGTCTGTGACAGGAAAGCCAGTGGATGATCCTGGCCTAACGCAGCTTTTAGGCACAACTTTCTTCTCATTTTAGGCGGTTTCTGTGGTGTTGTTTAAATGACAAATATCGAGAGCACATTATTGTAACACGATTACGCATCTTTGTGCAAACATTTAATTGGGGGAAAACGATTAACAAAATTGCGTATTGTAATATAATAATAATAACGTCTCACAACATATGCTCTCGATAGACTCGGGTTCTGGAACGCTTATCTGGTGCGTTCAAGTTATGTTGGATAGATCGTATAAATAAATAAATAAACTCGTATACATTTACGAGTTGAACGCAGATGAACGCCATTACAAAGTCGTTATTACGAGTGGGAAACTCGAAATGTTTTACCTGAATGCGCATGCGCACACTCTGGTTCTGATTTTGGGACTTCCAAACAGCATGACAGCGAAAAGAAAGGACAGTCTGATGAGCAAAAAGTCATATTTTAGTACTGCACGCAAACACAAGATGTTGCAAACATTATATAAAGCACCACTGCGGTGAGATTGTGAGGCAAGACATTTGTTTTACTTTACTCATGGACCTGCCAAATGTGTCCACAGAGATAAGATAACACATCCTCTCTTATTTCTTCATTTGTCATTTTTTCACATTAAACTTATAGGTTTAAAAATAGGTGAGGTAAGGTCAGAGAGTCCGAAGGTCAAAAGTAAATGTTTGGTATAAAGAACTACTATTAACCTAAACCAAAAACATATCGCTAATTGCTAAACAAATAGCAAAGCATAAAAAGAAGCATTTTATAAGCAGTGATCTAAAATGCCCATTTAGGGTGAAATTTTACTGTTAATGTAAAATTACAAATTTTATTGTATTTTGTACAGTATGTATAAAAATGCTAAATGTGCTAAACCTTTAAACTTGAGAAGTTGCAAGTCACTCTGTTGCAAGAGATGACCTGCTCCACCCAAAGAAATCTTCTCTCTTACTTTCATCAGATATTTAACCATAATGATATAGCTTTAAAACTCCGCTGCTGCCACACAAGTTGTTTAAGGTTATAAGGTCCCTTTGCTACTTTAGAGATGAGTCAGTCCTATATATTCATTTTGATGATTGTCATCCCATTCAGTTTCTTGCAGGTAAGAAATATAAAGTCATTTTATCAATTATCATCAGTTATTATTGATACCTTATTTTTCAAAGTACTGTGTCTAATATATTGTTATAGAGAGTGCATATATTGGTTTTTAATTCTTTATTTTTATCATTTCCTGTGATTCGTTCACCACAGTCAGCGACAGGGAAAGAATGTATGTGCGATCTGAAAAATGTAGATCCTCTATTTCCTAAAGATGAACTAACAAAAGTAGAGACCACTGCCTTGAAATGCATAAGGAGCATCACTTCAGAAAAGGTAAATTTTTTATTTAAACATGTTTCTTTATATTTCATTCAAATGATTTTTAAATAGTTTTAGTAAATTCAATCAAATTAAATTAATAATGTAAATGTATTTATCTGCAGATGACAGACTTAGACAGACTTGTGTTGGGTCTACAACAACGTATCAAGCAACTAGAGGACAATGTGGTCGAGCTAGAAAAAGAAAACAGCAATCTGTATGCAGCCGTGTCTCTGCGCATCATTGAGTTAGAGTTTGCCGAAATACAGGACCTCCTCAACAAACTCAACAGGACCACCGACGATTACCATCATCTCAATGTACAGGCTGCAGCTCAGGTGACTAACTGTACAAAAAAAGTTCTTAAAATTATAAACAAACCCATAGAATCATTGCAATGTAAAGTATAATCACACAAAACAAAAATCGAATCATTTAAATCGTAAATGTAAATAAACACAAACACAACAATAATAAAAATGTATGTTCAAATAGAGGTGAGATATAAAACAATGTAAAAAAAAAAGTGACATTTTAAATAATATGTTAATATAAATTATTATGCCTTTAATAATTAGTGTTATCTAAATTGGCATAATAAAGGATGGGACGTTTTTTCTGTTTTGTGAAATATTTTTCATTACTCGTTTTTTAATTGCCTAAATTCTTATTTTCTCCCTTTTTCTTAAAGCTTGAAGATATGAAGGACACAATGGTGGAGTTGGAGAAGTTTGACAAAATGCGAGTGATTAAAAAGAATCGAGAGAACCAAATCAAGAAGAACTTGGAACAGTGCAAAGAAGAGCTCAAGGCTTCATCACCACCTCCTACAGTTTCCCCAGGTACGTTAAAGACCTCGATAGTCTTTTTTCTCCATTATTAGTCACTAGTGTTAAGTAAAAATATTGTCTTTCCGATAAACCGTGATCTTCGTTTGTTCAATCTCAATATCGATTACCAGTATTTCCTGCTCTGCCTGTTAGCAGGGTTGCGAATCTACGGCACAGCTGCTAAATATAAAGCCACATGATAAAAGAAGTTACACTTTACCTCAATTTGCAGTAGAAGTTGAACGTCATGAGATAAGAAGAGTGTGTATCACAAATAATGGCTATTGAGTTTTCTTCCCGTGTAAAAGTAAAACATACTGTTTAGACCAGTACAGTTCAATTCACAAACTATCATATGTTATTTTACTGAATCAGACATATACGGCACAACTAGTGTGGCCTGATTCAAGAACAAATGATTCTTTTGAGCCAGTCCTGTTGATTAATCATTCAAAATGACTGACAATCTTATGTCAAAAAATAGCAATTGAACTGCATGCATAGCATTATTAATATTAAGCAAATTAACAATTTTTCTTTGTAGCAAGTTTGAATATCCCTGTATAATTTATAGCCGTGAGAAAGTTTCTTATATATGTAAGCAAAACAGACATTATAGCTGAAATGTACTCAGAATGAATCAGAATTGAGAGCTTAATTGTGAATCAGAATTAAATCAAATCAGAAAATGTGCTTTAATACCCAACAGAAATTTTCCTGTTGTACATTTTTATTCTTCTGTGTTTTCAGGACGCTGTGGTCTGGGTCAAATGGTCAATGTGGCAGGACCTAGAACATCTTCCCTCACACCATACGGCACCTCCTACCCTTATGGTGCTTGGGGTCGAGATGTGAAGCCCGCTCGAGGAGACGAGAACAAGTACTGGCTGGTGGTGCTGACAAGTAGTAATGTATTTGGCCACTATGTCCGCCAGTACAGCACCTTGAGTACTCTTTTATTAGGTATAGGACCAAAAGATACATACATATCAAGCTCCAATCCCACAACAAACACAATTCAGGGGTCAAACATGGTCATGTACGCCAATGCACTCTACTATAACTGTTACAACAAATACTCTGTCTGTCAGTTCAACTTGACGACTCGTGCTGTCAGTACTGTGGCTTTACCTAGTGATACAGGTTACAATAGCAAGTTTCCATTTGCACACCTCGGCACAACATACAGCTATACTGATATGGATTTTGTCACAGATGAATCTGGCGTCTATGTTATATATGCAACCACAAGCAACTTCGGAAATGTGATTATCACTAAAGTCGAGACTAGTAACCCACCAGTTTTCAACCAAACATGGTTCACTTCTCTTCACAAAAAGACTGTGACAAACACCTTCATGGTGTGCGGTGTGCTTTATGCTACTCGTTACCTGGACAAAGAAATAGAAGAGATTTTTTACTCTTATGACACCAAGACCAACGAAGAGCGATATGATTTGAGAATTCACATTAAGAAGATGCAAACTAATATTAAGTATATGAATTATAACCCCAGAGATCATTTGCTGTACGTCTACAGTGATGCCTACATTGTGACATATGAAATCATGTTTTAGCAAGTTGATTAATGTCTTTTATTCACCAATAATTTTACATATTTGATGATTTTAAATGGAAAAGCATTGACTTATCATACATTTTGTCCCAATAAGGTGGAATCCATTTAATAATTGGAATTAAAATTTACACTCAATAAGTTATTATTGCATACTGTTTTATAATGTATTACAATGCTGAGGTGCAGATAATTGCCACTATTGGCAATAAGTAATTAGCAGAATATCCTGCTATTTTAATATAGTATAAATAGCTATTTGCACTTAGTGTAAATAGCATATCACAAAACAAATACTGCTATTTTCACTTAGTGTAAATAGCATCTATCGCTAAGAAAATATGCTACCAACCCCCCCTCCACCGCCTTGTGTCCCCTTCGAAAATTGCTCTTGAGAAATTTTATGTTTATTGTCCCCCACTACTGTTAGACGAAATGTACGCCCCTGCCTGTAATAGTGGATAAATGACGCTGAGGGAATTTTTATAAGCAGACGAGTACAAACTAGCTTTCCAGTATTCAGTCTGTGACAGGAAAGCCAGTGGATGATCCTGGCCTACTATAACTGTTACAACAAATACTCTGTCTGTCAGTTCAACTTGACGACTCGTGCTGTCAGTACTGTGGCTTTACCTAGTGATACAGGTTACAATAGCAAGTTTCCATTTGCACACCTCGGCACAACATACAGCTATACTGATATGGATTTTGTCACAGATGAATCTGGCGTCTATGTTATATATGCAACCACAAGCAACTTCGGAAATGTGATTATCACTAAAGTCGAGACTAGTAACCCACCAGTTTTCAACCAAACATGGTTCACTTCTCTTCACAAAAAGACTGTGACAAACACCTTCATGGTGTGCGGTGTGCTTTATGCTACTCGTTACCTGGACAAAGAAATAGAAGAGATCTTTTACTCTTATGACACCAAAACCAACAAAGAGCGATATGATTTGAAAATAAATATCAAGAAAATGAAGACTAACATTGAGTATCTTAACTATGACCCCAGAGATCATTTGCTGTATGTCTACAGTGACACCTACATTGTAACTTATGAGCTCGTCTTTCAGTAAAGCCCCGTTCACACCAAGAAAGATAAATATAAAGATAACGATATTAGCGTCCACACCAGCGAACAATATTGACTGTTTATTCTAAGCGCACATGCGTCTGCCGCTTTAAATTCTCAAGCTCGTTATAGCAGGATGGATTCTGATTGGCTGTCGATGTTTTTATCTTTCATCAGCTGGAAAAAAATTGTTCTGAAAGTGATTCCAATGATATCGTTTCTCTGTGCCTTTATCGTTATAGCTGTGGTGTGGACTCTGCTATTCTTTAATACTAAGAACTATATCTTTATCATTATCTTTATAGTTATCGTCCTTGGTGTGAACGGACCTTAAAGGGGTCATATGATGCTTTTTTAAAGATCATTATTTTGTGTATTTGGTGTAACAGAATATGTTGAACACACAGCGTCTCCCTGACATGGCTGCTTCAACACTAACTGTGGTTACTGAAACCAAGCCTTCTTTCTTTGCCTGAACATTTGGGCGGCATTACGCAAATATTTCCACATAGTGAGGTAGATATGTGGGGGCGTGTTAGAACAAGCCGTTTTAGGGGGGCGTGGCAGAGTCTTAACTTTGATAAAGAATATCTCTTTGGTTTTGAGACATTAGTCTTTGCAACTTCAGGGATCTTATCTATGCACAATCAGCTTGTAACACTCCAAAGAGAAAGGAAAACTTGAAATCGCATCATATGACCCCTTTAAGTCTCCAATGGCTTGATTTGAGACAAGGGAAATTGGCTGAATCCTATTTTACATACTGTCTGCACTATATAGTATGCGAGATTAAAATTGCTGCTTCGCAAATGATTGTATGTTGAACAAAGTATCCCAAAGGTAAAGTATATAAAGCTTTTAAGACTTAGCAACATGCAAAAACAAACAAGCGGACTGTGTTATCAGAACAATTTTATGATACTATGGCCAATTACTAGTTTCCTATCTTACAGTAATTTCAAAAGTACTTTCCTATCACCAGTGAAGTATGTACATTTACTGTAAATAAATATTTTACATATTTTAAATGCCAGAACTGCTTGTTTTGTGGAGGAAAAGCATGTGTTTTTATGTACTACCCATTTTGGTTAATAAAATAAAATATGAATGAAATGTTTCTGCTGCTGGATAACCTACAAACACAGATTCAGAACATGCTTACATTATACATATGCGAATTTCAAATATCAAATACAAATTGCAAACTTTTCACATATTAACCTTATTTTACTTATTTACTTTCTATATTTTCATTGTAATGTATGCAGTCATTTCAGTTAAAAGTAGTCTTACCTGTGAAGGTGCTCAAATGACTCTGAGTGAAGTTTCAAGTAGCTACTTGAAATTATGTTTTCAGTACTCTGTGGCAGGACAGTTTGACATGCTACAATTGCTACGTAAAAAGCTGAATTTGGACATTAATCGTTATTTTTTTGTTAATGTTGAATATTTTATAACAATTATTTTTATAACATTTGTTTAATATCATCGCTTTAATATTGATATGATTATGTTAAGATGCCTTATATTGATGTCACAGATGACTTTTCTATATTCTATATTCTACTATCCCTTTAAATAATTACCGATTCATATAATCGTGAATCTAAAATAATCTTCTATTACGGGTCATACAATGTACGAGCATGGAGCTCTGGAACTTTTCTTCTCACCTGAATGTGCATGCACGCAGCTGCACTGGTGGGTTCCCAACATTTTTTATGCACAAATCACTCTGCAGGTCATAAGATTGTAATAAAACTATTACCGCATTAATTACTAAACTGAAATAATCAGGCATGTGATATTCTGAGCTGGCAAATTAAAAGGCCTTCTCTTTGCAGCGATGTCAGATAGGATAATGACCATCAAGTGCCATGATGACGTTGCATTTTGGCACTTGCCAGTATGTTAATGTTAATCTATTAACTGTAGTACTGACATAAATTGTAGAGTTTGCAGTACAGTAATTAGTAAAGTTGTAGAAAAGGTGAGTTTAAAAAAAGACACTGACAGTCAGAGAAGTGCAGCATAAGCACATTTATTGTAATGACAAAATGAGTCAAAATGTTTAATCTGACTTAAGCACTTTAAAAGTCTCACAATCACATAATGATATAGTGAAAAGCTTTAGTTTAACCACTGTGCATATTTTGAGATTTTCAGCATGCTGTGAAATATGGACTTTGGATTGCATATTTTTTATTAGCTGCGTATGAAAGGCCCTCAGTTGAAGGTGTTATATGCTAACAGATAGCCATCATTATACATATAAAGTCTCCTGTCAACTGGATTGTAGTTCAGATTGGCTATTCCAGCAGAAACCTTCTCAACAGGCAAAGAAAGAGTGTTTATCTCTTGACCAGTGGTTGTATCGAAAGCATAAAACACCTCTTCTTGGTAAGTATTAACAAAGCGTGTAGCATACAAGACCCCGCACATCATAAACGTGCTGGTGACGGACCTCTTAAAGAGTTGCGTCTTCCAGGTATGAGTAATATTGAGCGCTAATGGGTCTAAACGGCTCACAACAATGTTGCCGTGATTCTCCTCAGTGGCGTATATCACCCACACGGCATTTTGATCAGCCTCCAGGTCGATATCGGTCCAATCACGACAGCTGTAGTAGCAGAAAGGGAACTTGTTGTCGATTCCGGCACCAACTAGTTGTACACGCTTGCTTGCTTGTGTTGTAATGTTGAAGCTGCAGATTTCAGCGGTGCTGTAGCACTGGTAAAATACAGTATTGTCATACAGAATAGTGCCAGAGCCCTGAACAGCATTTTTGTGGCTGTAGGATGGTGCGATGTACTCATCTTTGTAGTTCTTGCTGGCCATGAAATCTTCATACGAGTTGTACATCCTGATTGTGTTGCCATGCTTGTGTCCGCTCACTAGACTGTGTTCCCAATAGCGTTCCTTGCTGTCCCGTTTGGCTTCGCGACCCCAAGCACCTGAGATATAGGACTTGCTGAAGGAATTGAGCTTGGTGACAACTGGAGAACTTATGTTGGACATAATACGCTGATGACAAGTACCTGCAAGTGGAGTCGTAAGGATTTGTCATACATTTAAGTTAAGCATTTTACTGCCTATATCATGAAAAAAACCATCAAACCAATCTTCAAAACCCTTGGTTTCTCCCCTCACTGAGAGTTGTGTACTTACTTCTGAAGTCTTCAGGTATAGTTTTACAGGTTTGCACTCGGTTGTTGAGGTCACGTAGCCTCGATTTCATTGTCTCTAGATTGAAGATATTCTTTTTGTACATGTTCTCAACGTCCTTCCTTGCATTAGTCAACTGAGAGGAACACAAATGATATAATGGTCAACATATCTTTGAGCTTAGTCTTTTGTCATCTTCAATTCATCTTCATAGAACTTCAATGATGAGTAAACCATAATCAAAAGATATTTTCTGTCACTTGATTTTTTTGGAAATCAATGCAGACTAAACATGAGCTTCGTGGAACAGTAGATATCCTGAATAATGACTTGTAAAATCAGTGTTTTTCACACTGATGACAAAACTTTAATCATGTGGCTTTTCAGAAGACTTGTTATTTTTAAATAAAACTACAAAAAAAAATTCAGGCATTGAAATAAAGCTAAATAAATTGAAATATAAATATTATATGAAAAACCTAAGCTTTAAATGCGAAATGTTAACTGAAATAAATAAAAAATAAATTAAAGCTAAATAGAAATATTTGAAAAATAAATAAATAATGAAAGACAAAAACATGTAACAAAATAATTGAAACTGAAAAAAAGCTAAGTCAAAATATTAATAAATGCTATAATAGTATATAAATAATACTAAAATAACACTTTTTTAATGTTGTTTGGATATTTTTGGGAGACCTATGCTTTTTTGGATATTTTTTGAAGATCTACCTCCTTGAGAAGGTCATTTGTCTCTTTGCTGGGTCTTTTCTTGTGAGC